CGTCGTAAACAAAATCTAAAAACATCTAAATTAAACACCGATTCAATGCAGAAAAAAATTAAATGAGAAATTTCATAAATATTGATCTAGATTCTTGAATCAACTGTTAAATATTAAGCTCCATATTATATATCTTGAATCTTGAAACATTGGGAACTAATCATTATTATCATTATACGTTTAACCGAGAGAGACACTGTGGCAACCTCTGCTAGTACCACTGTTTGTTGTGCATGCGATTGTGGACCTTATTATCATACGAAAATTGTTTATGTAAACAAGGCGTATCTATTCAAATACATGGTCAAATTATAAACTAGTATAAATTACTACATTAAAAGTAAACAAATAGTTTACAAATAGTACATAAATGGTACTCAAATAGTACATAAATAATACACAATTATTATAAAAATAGTACATAAATAGTACATAAATAGTACACAAATAGTACACAAATAGTACACAAATAGTACACAAATAGTACACAAATAGTACACAAATAGTACACAAATAGTACACAAATAGTACACAAATAGTACACAAATAGTACACAAATAGTACACAAATAGTACACAAATAGTACACAAATAGTACACAAATAGTAACACAAATAGTACACAAATAGTACACAAATAGTACACAAATAGTACACAAATAGTACACAAATAGTACACAAATAATACACAAATAGTACACAAATAGTACACAAATAGTACACAAATAGTACACAAATAGTACACAAATAGTACACAAATAGTACACAAATAGTACACAAATAGTACACAAATAGTACACAAATAGTACACAAATAGTACACAAATAGTACACAAATAGTACACAAATAGTACACAAATAGTACACAAATAGTACACAAATAGTACACAAATAGTACAACAAATAGTACACAAATAGTACACAAATAATACACAAATAGTACACAAATAGTACACAAATAGTACACAAATAGTATACAAATAGTTCACAAATGGTACATAAATAGTACACAAATAGCTGATATTTCCAGGATATAATCACTTATCATAAATCCTGTTACGTTTTATTCCAATTTTTTTGTTTGAAGACATTTGAATGAATAGAGTACAGTCTGTTCGCTATACTTACGCGGGTTTCGGATTAAAATTTTTATGAGTATTTCCAGGTAAGTACCCGAAAGTTTGACCTGTTCTTTGGGGAAATATCAACTGGTTAAATGAAATGAAAAATAATGTACAACTTTTTAATTAAATAATAATGGAGAATCTTTTGTATAATTGAGAGCAGAATTAACTTATTCATTAATAGAGTCTAATGTGGCTATTATAAACCTAATAATAATTTTATATTACACTTCACACAGAAAATATGGTACCTATTTAGTGCCTACCCTAATGTTATTTTAATTTAAATCTGACCAATAGGGCAATTTTTACCAAATTTCTTGGGAAGACGCTTATTGGAACTGGTTGTCAATAACTAATTTGCATAATTTTGTTAATCCGAAAACCCGCATAAGTATAGCTAACAGACTGTACTAGAAGTAGTCAAGCTAAAAAGGTGTTCTATAAAACGAAAATACATTGCATTCGAGTGATTTATCTTTAATATGTTTTCGTGAAGTATTTCTAACATGCCAGTTTCTTTAATGGTTGTTAATTGTAAGAGCAGAGGTGATAGAAACTTGTCTAGTGCTTTGTATTTCCTTCTTTTTTTGTCCCAGCAGCAGTAGTAGCAAACAACATTAATATTATCTACATTCAACCCATTTACATGTACATGATTTATCAGCTAAAAGCAGAACACAATACTTCTGTGCATAATGTAAACAACGCTAAAAGGAAAATAGCTCATGTATGAATTCTGTAATGAACTAAACATTCATTCCTATTTTTAATTAACTGGATCAACCCTTTTCTTAAAGTTCCCCGATTTTTAAATTATAATTTTCCGAAATTCCCGCAATTTGTTAATAATTATCGATTTTATTTTAGCTAAATGTTATATTTCTGTAAATTTATCGCGCCCCACTACCGACCTTTCGCGAACTTGAAATCGACGCGGAGAGAGCTGAGGCAGAACGATAAGCAGAGCGTGGATTCGCGATTCAAATTAATTTTCACGCACCTGTCATTTGTCACCTATAAGTAGGATGGTTTTTTATTTACATGTGTTTGTTTTGGGCGGCTTTTGTATTTGTGATTTTTTTAACTGTTTTTAGATAATATTGTCATTGTAATAGTGTTTTTGAGTTTTATTTAGTGTTAATTTAAGTTTAAGTCTCGTGATTTCGTCATAAATATATTATTTATTATGTGTTGACTTAATTTGTTGGAAATATTCCCCTATTGGTTGCTACAAGAACATCTAGAAATATGTATTTACTAAACCCAGGACATGTTTTATTATGTGGTTTAAAGGACATTTCAGGTACCACACGTTTGTTATTGATGAACTTATTTAAAAATCTTACTAGACTTTATTCTTATATTATGAGGTGAATTATGTATTACTTTGTATACATGTAAATGGTAAATCAGATTACAGTTTGATTCTAAACAAAGTTTTGCAAAATTTAATATTGTGAATTTGTAGATATCCATTTATCGTAAAAAACAAAATTTTACGACTTGCACTTGGAAAATAATGAATACTTCAGTTTTGATTTTGACATTAACACCATATAGATTGCAATTTGTTGGGAACTTTTTCGTAGATTACATTTTTAATATAAATACTATCACATACTATAAGAATAAACAAATTTAAAGCTAGAAACTCGAATTGTAATTGATACAAATTAAAATATAAACAATGAACACGAACGCCAATGTTGCCAAATGATGAACTGATTTTAAAACAAAATTAATAAATGAACTGAAATTTAAAAAAAAATCAATATAATAAATCGGTTTTATAAAAAAATCCTTAAATAATATAGAGTATGATTACATATTACTATACACAAATTTTGATACTTAAATAAAAGGTCTTATCCACTTCTTCAAAAGCTAAAATCCGACAACGTAGCGAAATTTTGCTACTTCTGGCAACACTGAACGATATTCTACTTATAGGGAGCTTCTACAAATGTCCTCCAGAGGGCGTATCACTCAGCTTGAATCGCGAATAGCGGAGGCCGGAAAGGCATTCATTTAGATTCTTGCGCCGCAATTAGTAAATTTTAGACGAAGATAATTCAGATTCTGATCCCGCTTCGATTCCGATATAATTGAAATCTTTTTCCGATCTGCATTATTCATATAGGTAAATAAATTATTTCCAAAGATTTATTCAGTTGTGTGTCTTGAAAACCGAGTGAAATCAGAAAGAATCAGATCATTTTCCGTATTGTTTATATTTTCTTTTTATTCAATTTTTTATTTACAACCTTATCAGTATTTTCCAGGAAAATCCGAAATTTGGCTGCTAATTTCACATTAGTGTTGAGAACTCTGTAAAATAATTTAATAAATTTTAAGTAAATATTAGCTCGGGTTATTTTTCTTTAATAAATAGAATTTGATTTGTTTTAAGAAATATTTATGCTGAATAAACCGTAAAACTAAAACTAAAATATTGGTTTTGAAAATATTTATACCGGAGTTTTACATAATTTAGTTCCTATTAATTTTATAAATATTTGTTTGAAAAATATTTATTTCGGGTGGGTGATTAGTTTAGAAGTGATTTTAACTCCTCCGAATATTTTGTTAAAAAATAATTATACCGGGTTGCCAAGAAATTAAATGATAGTAGTTTTAATTTTAATTTTCGAGTAATAAGTGATTTGACTCCCGTTCCTTCCCATTCCTGTTAAGCAGTGTTAAGGTTCCTAAAAACTTCTTATTTGTACATTCCGATATTAAAATTTCCCGAACTAAATTTGTTATTGAAGACAATAACTACTCCCGCAGTAGAATTAGTCTAAGATCCGAAGTAAGGTTGACCTTCACCCATCTGTTTAATGGATGAACGTTTCTTTTTATTAAATAAAATTTGTTTATAAATATACCGCCTAAGAAAATACGGTCCAGAGTATTTATTTTCTTAAAATAAAAATAAAAACGACACCCTGTAAAGTATTCCCCAGATGCTTCGACTGTACCCAAACTTTAATCAGCTCACCGCAGGATAGATTAAAGCTTAAGTTTAAAATTTGGTGTTTTTCTCTCTATCCGTTTTTGAGTTGTCTTCAAAATTCGAAATTTGTACTTTTCCTTAAATATCTCGAATTAGGTCCATTTTAGGGAAATAATAGAGAATGACATCATAAGCAACTTTTATCATGATTCCTATACTTTTCTTATCTGTACACAGAAAGGAAAGCAAAAAATGGCCGTGACCGTATTTTTTTAGGCAACCCATTTGCGGTATATTTAAAAACATATTTTATCTAATAAAAAAAACTTTTATCCATTAAACAGATGGGTGAACGTCGACCTTACTTACGGATCCTGGACTAAATGGGCTAATTTGATAACCAACTCAGATAATATGTTC